GCGAGCGGGTATCACATGAAATTTGGAATGTGGGTACCAGCTCGATACCTTCCATAATGGAAGTCAGTGTATGTGTGTGTGTGTGTGTGTGTGTGTGGGGGGGGGGGGTATATGCTTGCGTGTGTGGATGGACAAACAATTAAACTGCGTCCTCTTAACCCTGTTAAGGTGTTGCTGCAGTTGAGTGGGTCAGCGTTAATACGGTACACAACATGAATCATTTACATAAAACGCAGCATTCTACGACCCCTCGAGCCTCGCTGCCATCGTTATTATTTCATTTAAAAATATTAAAATCTGGTAAGCATCTATTTGAGTAATTTCCGGCTACCGTGCATACATTTTGTAAAAGATCTAATAAGCAAAACAATTGTATTTTGTCGCATTACAAAATCAACTTTAATGCTTGAATACTTGATTAACAGAGTGTTTTGAGATAAAAATTCATGATAATGTTAGTAAAATATAACAGGATTGCAACACAATAGCGAACTCTGACGTGAGGATAATTAATGCAAAGTGGAAGTAAACTTCAACTCCCTGCCGGTGTTGTGTGAATGTGTTCCGTTGTGCAGGGAGAGGGCCCCGCGCTGCACGCCACCAGCGGATGCCACACTACGCCTTCACGTGGACGCGTAAACATGTTTCGGAGCATTTTTTGTGTTTTATTGAAATGTGACCTCTGGGTCGACCCGGTGGTTGAACCTCACTATCTGCCTTTTATAAGGAAAGCGTGATGGCTGGAGGCGTCAGTATGTTTTGGCCCCCCGTCCTGTCGACACCTGCGGCGTAGCGTCATTCTGTGGTGGTCCCAGTCCTGTCAACATCTGCGTCCTAGCATCAGTGTTCCTCTGACCTATCGACACCTGTGGCCTACCAACACATGTTCTATAGTTCTTTGACTATACTAACTAGGTTAATATTTTGCTAAAAGAGATAATTTTTGTATCTGTCATGAATAACAAAAATTTAAGTATATATGGAGGTATTATCTAAGCAACGTGTTGTGTCTATCTAAAAGATTGGAGGGCTTGCAGGGAGCGTGATGGCTGGGTTGACACTCTACGGTAAGGTGGCTCTGATGGCCCTCAACATCCTGGTGGTGACCGCGCAGGGCCAGAAGCCCGTATCCAAAGGTGAGGTTCGTCGGGGTGAATCAACTACCCTCACCTGTCTTCCTGCGGCTAATCATATTCTCGTACTAAACAAACCTTCTTCTCGGTGACTAACGTTGAGAACCCGTTCATAACGTGAGAGATGTCACTCCTCGTGTCATTTATTGTATTCTTCACATGTTCTTAAACTTTATATTTGATTTTTTGAAATGAAACATTCATTACGTTCTTAAATATATATTTTTCTACATTTTCATTTTATAATTTAGGGGGCATCGCGTCTCAGTGGTTTGTTCGAACTATATGATATTGATTTTAATTATGTTCTTGATTTATGTTTTCATGCCTAATGATTTATCATTGGGAATACCCAGGAATCACTTTGTCACTTCTCTCTCTCTCTCTCTCGACATCACTTTTCTCACAGCATCATTTCTATCACATCACCACTTCTCTCCCAGCACCACTTCTCTCCCAGCACCACTTCTCTCCCAGCACCACGTCTCTCCCAGCTCCCAGTTTTAATGGCAAATATTCACATGAAAAAGCTCTTCAAAATATTAACGCTAAGCAGAGTGGTAAATATTCATGAATATCGAACCCTGAGTTACGATTTAAGAAGTCCGGCCATGCCCCCATGTGCCTCTGTTGTAGCCTAGTCACTCAACTCCTCTGTTGTAGCCTAGTCACTCAACTCCCCTGTTGTAGCCTAGTCACTCAACTCCTCTGTTGTAGCCTAGTCACTCAACTCCTCTGTTGTAGCCTAGTCACTCAACTCCTCTGTTGTAGCCTAGTCACTCAACTCCTCTGTTGTAGCCTAGTCACTCAACTCCCTGGTTGTGGGCCGCAGATCGGCAGCTGTGGTGGAGCCTGGCCCAGAACGATCTGGCGGCCGCCCTCAACGTCCGCGACAACTGGAGTGTGGCCAAGAACATCATCTTGTTCCTGGGCGACGGCATGGGCATCACCGCCAACACCGCCGCCAGGATATACAAGGGACAAAAGCAAGGACGGAACGGCGAAGAAGGCTACCTTGCCTGGGAGAGGTTCCCCAACGTCGCTCTTCTCAAGGTAGAGGCACTTTATGTACTTCATACCTTAGGAATCACTGAAGGCTATTCATTATTTGTCTGACACAGTTCAGTGTTACTTGGAGATATCCTGTAGAATGTAAAAACGTAAACAAGGAGTCAGGGGCCAGATTCACGAAAGCACTTACGCAAGCACTTACGAACATGTACATCTTTTCTCAATTTTTGGCTGCTTTGTTTACAATTATTAAACAGTTAATGAGCTCCGAAGCACCAGGAGGCTGTTTATAACAATAACAACAGTTGAATGAGAAGTTTTCATGCTTGTAAACTGTTTAATAAATGTAACCAAAGCCGTCAAAGATTGAGGAAAGATGTACACGTTCGTTAAGTGCTTGCGTAAGTGCTTTCGTGAATTTGGCCCCAGGTTACCAGGTATCGCATAAGTTTGGATTGAAACACAAAATACCCAGAAATATAGAGTTCTCCATTACGGTCATTACATGCACACTGCCCATTTCCTCAGTTTGAATACTGTTACTGTATAGACCACTAAGCCCGTCCTCCTGTTTATGCGTACGAATATGACGCAATTAAATACATCAAATAATTCATACATTTCAGAGCCTTTCAGAGCAAAGGCTATTGAAAAACACTCATCAGAGCATTTGAAATTGCACCTAACATTTGTGTTATGAATTACATAGTTTGACAAAGGTTATCTTAGCTGGTGCTGTGGTTAGATATTAAAAACTACACATATTTAGGCCTATGTCAGGCTAGGTTAGGTTCGATTAGTTTAATTAGACGTTTGCGTTAATGTCAGGCATTTTCTAATGTCAGAAGTCGGTGAAGGACATTTCTTTACTAAAACATATACAAGTAATTTAACATATGCAACCATAATGCCTTCATTTAACATGACAATATAAAGTTATAATCAATCTGCTACAGCGTACATTCACAATATCGTGACTTATATATTTGCAACAATTAATCTGATTCTAATACGTTCATTGATTTTATCCTGATGGAAGTCAGTTTTGTTATGTTTTATAAACTGAAGAATTGAGATGAACGTCTGTTATTCTGTGCCTCCCGTACATTTAGACGTACAACGTGGACAGGCAGGTGCCGGACAGCGCGGCAACAGCCACCGCTTTCCTGTGTGGCATTAAGGCCAACTATTACACCCTCGGCGTCGACTCCTCCGTTAAGTTGCAGGACTGCCCCGCCAGCAAGAACACCAGAGCTCACGTTTCTTCTATTCTGCAGTGGGCGCAGTTCGCTGGCATGACCACAGGTAAGTTTGCCAAGTTCCACATGGGATGGCAAATATAAAAGAGTAAAGTCATTCGTAGAGTGCACAGTACGTCCAACTGGGAGCTCTTAAATGTTTGGTAACATTGATTACCAATGTTACCAAATGAACTAGACCATGTTTACATTAATAATATTATTTGTTGAAGACCAAGTTGGTGGAACAAGGAGATAATGCAGTGCGGACTAGACAAGAAATTAAATTAAGAGGAATTTGCATTTAACTAATACTAGAGAGCTGCATGTGTGCTCTGGTGGACTCACATAACCGAAAACACTTTTTAAAGTTGCCAAATTACCACTTATGTGTGGTTACCGTTTCTAAATATAATGTGATTATTCAAGTTCATGTACGTTTATCGAGACAATAAAATACATCTCAATGGGATAGAGTAGCTTAGGCTATTTCTACTCTCCCTGTGATTATTGACCTACCGCTGGCAGGGTTGGTGACCACGACGAGGGTGACCCACGCCACGCCCGCCGCCCTCTACGCTCACACTGCAGACCGTCGGTGGGAGTGTGACGGTAAGCTGGAGAAGGCGGGCGTCGGCTGCAAGGATATTGCTGACCAACTTGTAACCGAAAACCCCGGTCGGAACATTAGGGTAAATGCAACTACTTAATCAAATTATATTCAACGTAAATGACATTATTTTTAAAGTTACTTTACAGATAAATTACACTTGTTTTAAGGTTTGCAGGAAATATGATTCTTGATAGAGTAATTATATACAGTAAGACAACAAATGATGGACTAACCGCAAAACTGAAGTTTGGTGCGAGTAATGAGACAGTACGGTGCCTCCAGGTAATTCTGGGTGGAGGCAGACGGGAACTTGGAACACCTCACGAACCCCAGTACGACGAGAGCTCCTGCTCTCGTCTCGACGGTCGCAACCTCGCCCAGGAGTGGCTGGCGGAGAAAGTATGGCGAGGGGCGTCGGCTCGTTACGTCACTACTGCCGATGACCTGAGGAAAGTCTCGCCCAACAACACGGACTTCCTCCTGGGTAAGTCGACTGGTCATCTGCCATATGTCTGATCTCTGCATGTTATTTGCAGCTGACGAGGTAAGGGATGACTTGCAGGCTTTCGCGTTGTGCAAGACCTTAAGTGTAGACGAAGCACTCAGAACTGAAAGTACCCAGTAGCTGGAAGACGACGCGCTCAGAATACCGTAGCTGGAGTAATTTAGCCTATGAAACTGTGCATGCATTTGGTTTTGTTCTGTATGAGAGCCTTCAAATTACACTGAGTTCGACAGTTTGTAAATAAACTTGTTGGTGTTTGATGTCAGCTTGATAGTTGCATTGTTAATTGGCTTATAAAGTCAGAATTCATGATTTGAATACAACTTTCATCAATCTGCAATTCTTCCTATAAACTTATATTATTTTGTGCAGTCAATTCTTGTTACGTTTATTTATAAACGTAAGTTCGTCTCTATGTTGTTCTAAGATCAGATTATGATAGCAAGCCCGCATCATTCTCTGAATTGTTTCATCTAAACTTATAGGAGGTTCAGCATAGCTGGTTTAAATTGACCCCGTTAGTGAGCTGTGTGCATTGTTCCCCAGGACTGTTCTCCGACTCGCACCTGCCGTACGTGGTGGAGCGCGAGAGAGAGACCCAAGTTCCCTCCCTGGAGGAGATGACCCTCAAGGCCATCGACATCCTCCAGTCCAGCAAAAACGGCTTCTTCCTCCTGGTTAGTCACTAACCTAAACAGTTACATACAACTAACTCGCAAGCATGTGTGTATAGGCAGTACCCCGACCATATTAAATAACGTAGAATTCAAAGTAAAAACTAAATTGGTAATATAAGATGCCCACTCGAGTCCCTATGTCATCAGAACTGAGATTAGGATTTCATTTGGATTTGATAAATATTATATAGTTCGGAATTTTGTGAGTAATTACGTAAACAAAGGCTTCCTGCACGCCAGGTTGAAGGGGGCCGCATCGACCACGGACTCCACAACAACTCGGCCTACAGGGCGCTGGAGGAGGCGCTCCAGCTGGACGCCGCTGTGGCCGCCGCTCTCAGGGTACGAGGTTTCTTGCGTTGAGTAGTGCTTGTACACTGTCCCCTGCTGACACAGTAAATCGTCCAGTGTAACTTTGCCTATTACATCATGTCAACATCATCAGCTAATCGTGTTCTAAATTCGTTCGGTGATATGTGACATTGGATAAATGTGGTCACTTCATGGGTCGACAAACTTGAATCCTGTTGGGCAGCGGGTTGTTTCCCCTGGAATCTTTCCTTATTCAGGCTGTCTCATACTGCGGTGGATATAACGTCTGCCTCACGCTCGTGGGGTCGGCGGTTCGAGTCTCCTACTGCCCGGATGAATGAAAATATATATATATATATATATATATATATATATATATATATATATATATATATATATATATATATATATATATATATATATATATATATATATATATATATATATGTGTGTGTGTGTGTGTGTGTGTGTGTGTGTGTGTGTAATGTCTGAAAGAAAGTTATGTCGTAATTGGTTAATAATTTGATGTGACATTGCAGAAGGTAGACCTGGAGAACACACTGGTGGTGACCACGGCTGACCACTCCCATGTCATGACAATTAATGGCTACCCTAACCGAGGCAACGATATTCTAGGTGAGTTTTCCGTGTTCCACCTCACCAAGTATAATTTATATGTGCTCACGCTGTGACAAAGATATTTCTTGGTCAGTTCTATGTAGGCTCACCATTGCGACCGTGTTTTTTTTTTTTTTTGGCAAAGTGTTTGTGCATTCACAACATGGCAATTATATTTTGTGCCAGTTTCAAATGTTCACATCACGGAAACACCTCTCAAGACAAACCTCCAGTAATATAGACTTGAGGTTGGGTTACCTTGATCGTGATCCTGTCACTTTTGTAAACTTAAAAATGCCTTACTGAACTTTTAAACCTCTGCAGTACCAATCCTTCCGATTTATTCTTATGAAATTTAGTAATATGGGATGAATAACTTACTGTATATTAGGCCCAGCATAACTTTCACACGTAGAAAGGGACTGGCGTAACTTGCCCGTGTAGAGAGTGACTACACATGTCTTCTTCTAGCAGTTATTATTCATTATCGAATACTTTGCTGGACACGGCGCCGCTGCCAAGATTCTGCTATAATGCGGCCCACTGTCGCCTGTATTTCATTTAATGAGAATAATAATTATGATAATAACTTATTATTATTATTATTATTATTATTATTATTATTATTATTATTATTATTATTATTATTATTATTATTATTATTATTATTATTATTATTATTATTATTATTATTATTATTATTATGTTATTATTATTATTATTGTAAGACGAAGAAGAAAATATAAATAATAATGAAAATAATTATAATGAGAAAATCAGTAGGAGTCATGAGGAGGATTTGAACCTATGGTCTAGGTACTCCAAAGCAAGTTCCTTAAACCATTACACCACAATATGGTGAAAAGTAATTGAACCTGGGATTCAACTGAATCCATTAAGGTTCCTGAGGCTTACAATGAAGCCTAACCGGGGCTTCACACCCCCCCCCCCCCATGCACTTTGGTTTGTAGTTTAGGAATTCTACCTCCTACGCATCTCCATTTTGACAACAAGGAGCTGCCTCGCCGCGGGTCAATAGTATTTCTGCAGTTTCCTTTATGAATATGTTATTTAAATCTCACCGATTTATAGGGGTACATTTACCAGCTTGTTTGTCATCAAAGCGCCTCCTTACCCGGGTGTAGTGTGTGAACAAGTGTGTTACTCAACAGGGGTGACGGGGTACAAGTCAGACGTGGACGGCCTCAACTTCACCACCCTCATGTTCACCACCGGCCCGGGGTTCAACTACACCACCGACGGAAACAACGTACGATCTCACTACACCTCAACTATATTATGGCTCTTGCATACGTGGCATATTATGAAGATGATAATATTCAACTATTTACTGTCCCAAAAATGCTACTCTTCCCTGTAAGGCCAGTAAGAGACATTAAACACCCTGTGATCCCAGAAGTGTGTAATAGTAATTAATAATACGTGCCACAGGTGACGCGCCACGACCCCAACACGCACGACACAAGAAACCTGGACTACCAGAGCTTGGCAGCTGTACCCAAGAAGTGGGAGACCCATGGTGGGGAAGACGTCGCTGTCTGGGCTGCAGGTGGGTTTCAATCATACATGACGTCCACCTTTTTCATAAATTATTATTCAAACCCTTGGCAGTGTTTGTAATACGTTTTGTTATATTAAACAAAAAATACTGTTTCAATCGACTTGAGAATGAGAATGGTCCAGGACGGACCGAAACGTCGTCGTCTCTTCACCTTCTAGTGTGTGGTCTGGTCAACAATACTGTTTCAATTATATTGGTATTCAGTGAGATGTTTGTGTTGCCACAGGTCCGATGGCCCACCTGCTGCATCGAACCCATGAACAGAACTACTTGGCCCACGTCATGGCCCACGCCGCCGGTATTGGTCCAAGCTACGGCAGACGCAAGAGACCTGACTACGACTTGCGAGACGACCTGCCTCCTCATTCTACGGGCGCTGACACTCCCACAGTTCGCACCCCTCCAGGACCCGCCGACGGAGCAGCACCTAAAAGGCCCAACTTCCCGACAGTTAACCCAGCACTCCAGCAGCTTCTTGATGATAAAGATCAAAAGGTGACCTTTTTTTCTTATTTAATCCCTTATCTTATTTATTTTAGGATACTATGTTTCGTTTGAACAAATTAGGTTACAAGAATTTCATTGTGATTTATATATTATTGATTAAATTTCTTTTGTGTAATTACAATAACATTTCGTACCATTTAATCTAAGCAATAAGTAGTACTATTACGGGCTCACCATAGCCCGTGCTACATGGACATTTTGTTCTGAGTAGCTAAATCTGAAACAACAAGTAGTACGATTTGGTTTAATTTAGGTTCAGTTCTGGAAGCCTAAACACGTAATCCGATAAAAACTACAATTAAGAAAAATAAATTAGAAACTAGTGTATATAGGAAACAATAGCACGATAACTCCAGTTAATTTACCTCAGAGTTAGCACGTCACCTCCTAGTTATTATTTGACGCCAACAGTAGTTCATGGCGGTGTAATTTTCAGTCAAAATATTAAGTAGTGTTGATGATAAAGCTCTCTTAAGAAAGTGCTTGGAGCAGGATCGTCCTGGTTATTGTGTGTAAATTCTGTTATGTGTAGGCTACCCACTGTAACTCTGATCTCTTTTCTTTCAGATTGTTCAGGAGCTTGGCACACAGGACGTCTCCAGTGATCCCACGGCTGACGAGTTAATTGATGACAATCATTTATAATTTCAGCCCACTAGCATTATCTACAGTATGCTATAATAATAATAATAATATTTTATTTAGGAAAAGTACATACATAGATGCAGTTACAAACATTCTGATTGATTTATAGATAGAGCTAGTACATACAATACCTAAAGCCACTAGTATGCATAACGTTACGGGCAAACATTGCTATGACCAATAGCATACTTTAATCTTACAGTGAATAGATATGAGTAAACAATATATAGTAAGCCAAGACTTGATTATCAGACATGTAGCTGGCAGTAACCCAGGGAAACTGAGCCAACGGGTTTCGCACCAGCTGCTAGAGCCAAATGTTCACACAAAGTTTTGTAATATTTAAAATTCGGTGACATGTTTTGTGGTAATTTTATTTATTGCGGGCAAAAAAAAATTTCACTTAATTCACACTGCAAATAATGATGAGTTTTTTTTTAGGTAATAAACCCTTAGACGAGGACTTACGTCACACGATGGGTGACTTATGTGTACTTACGTTCACATAAGTACATGTAGCTTATGCCATATGGTAATGATTCCACATTAGAAGTTATAATGAGATAATCGTAACTTTTGAAACTTAGAAAAATTGGGCTCTGCATCAAAATACCTATAATTATCAACATTTTAATTTTTCTGAATATTATTATTTAATACAAGGGAGAGAAACCTTTTTATTACATAAATTCATTAATTAGAACAATTTTGGAGCATGTGTGAAGATTGCACACAATCGATTTTTTTTATTAACAAGCTTAGGTATACACAGCAATGGGCTGCTACCCTATTCTGTAAGAAAGCTTACACAGTGTAGATAAAAAACTAACTATATGTTTATCTAATATACCTGCCTCAATACAAAAATAAATTAACTTTTACTAAATAATAAATTTATGATTTTCGTAAGAGCTATGCAATGAGAACATGTGCAGAATAATTAAGATTATTTCGGATGTTTTTAGTTTACCACAATATTTTTACTATTTTTTACCTAAATCCCATATATAACACCTTTAATTATGGAGAAACTCTTCTTCCTAAATTATAGACTAGCTATCACAGACTCAGAATATTATTTATATGAAATGTAAATCAAAGAATTTTTTTTTTTTTTTACATATTCTCCAAAATGTTAACTAACATTTCAAAAGATTAAAATGCTATTTTCCTCTCTCGAATATTTGCTTAACTGCACATACTAAACGTGAACCGGACTATAATATTTGTGCTCTGAAAGTGGTTATAATTCGTTGTTGTGATAAAGTGGTTGTGATTCTTAAAGATTGTGATTCGATCAATCATAGCGGAAACATTATCATGCGTCAGGTGCTTGTTCGTCGCTGTTCACTCAAACTTTGTCAGAATTATAATTTTTAGTGTAAGAAAATACAGCTTACGAATGAGTGATGGTGTTGCAGGTCTGCAAGATTTACTAAAACAAATCTACAGGGATGCCCCTTTGATCCAGGCCAGCCTGTGAATCTGTTTCAAGAAGTTTCAAAAGACTTTATATTTCTAAAAAAAAAAAAATCCTTTTTATAACTAATCTATAAATCTCATATTTAAAATTAAATGTTCTTATACATACTATTTATGGTTATTTAAGTTCGTATTTTAAGCAACGTTTTCTTGTGGATATATGTCTAATAATTATTTATATGATTTATGTTTCTTGTAGTGAGTATTCTAGGCAAAGTACTTTATACTCGTGGTATACTAAACCTTTGTAAGTCTCACTAATCTATATATTTTTACGGCTGTACACCTGTTCATACCAGCCACAACTGTAATCATTTTTATAAATGACTTACGAATAAAAATCGAGCAATCATGATTTTTTTTTATTATTATCATGAACATGCTTAGGTATGCACAGCAATGTGCTGCTGCCCTATTCTATATTTTAATGATTACATATTGTAGATCAAAAACTAGCTATAAGTTAATATAATATCCCCATCTCACAGGATGGTTAGTCACCCTGTGAGCGGCGGACTTTTCACAAGGACCTAACACATAATATTTTAATTGCCAAAAGTGTAAATATTGTTAGGACAGGATAGGTTAGGTTATGCTACTTAAGACTGGAATAGGCTAATGACTTTACTGATTCAGACTCAGGAAGTGGATCCCTCCTGGGGAACCACTTCAGGTATTTCTCATAAACGATTTCATTCACACAGCAGCAATTATGAATGATGACACGTGTGCTGCCTGGCACGAGTGTTTTAGGGCACCCGTCCAGCTGGCACTTGGCCCGCAGCAGGGCGGATGCCAGGCAATAAACAAGCCGAGGCAGTACGTGGTATGCCACACACACGACCAGGGTGGCCTCCACTCGTGACAAGAGGCGTCTGGCGCATCTCCCGGAAGTACTGTCATGGGGTCGTTCCGTTGGGGGATCACACACACACGTGGTTCATCGTCGTCCCCCCCCCCCCCTCCCCTCCGTCGTCGAATACCTGATTTGCTTCTCGTGCATCTGGAAATAAACATGCCATCGGCTCTGATCGGTATCGATGCTCAGTATATGGTATAATTGATTACTTGCAGTTAAACGATGATTGCTATACCTGGTCCTACGTTTGATAAAGTAAATCTGATCCAAACAGCAGGGTATTATTTAATGAAACGACATTATTATAATAATAAATTGTTCATTTGTTATAATTTAGTTTATATTTCCTGACGGCATTTCAAAATACCATTTTTCCTTTTAAAACAACAGCTCATACGCAACGAAATCACACTAGGGTATATATATATAAATGAGGAAAACAACTGGAGTTCATTTTCTCATTGATATATATCACTTTAGTGAGATTTCATTGTGTATTTGAAGTTGGGGCGTACAGTGAATGAACTACTTTACCGGCACCCGAATGCTTGAAGGGGGGGGGGGTTATATGTAAAACCTGGACTGGCTTTAGTAGAAGCCTACAGATTTCCAAAGGTTTAATTGGAATCCCGGTTGTATGATTTTCCCCTAGTCAAGGTGGTACAGTGGTATGTAATGGACTTGAGTCGAGGAAGAGTTGAAATGTTTCACCCACGTACTATAAATAAAAATAATCGCCAATAGAACCTAAACACCTAACCTAACCTAACCTAACCTAACTTATGCCTATATATGCACAATATACTAATATCTTATAATATTAATTTATATTTGAGAAAATTCCCGTTTTGAATGAACAGCATGTAAAAATTTAGGAATGCGTCTGTGGGGTCGACCGCTGGATGTAATGGACATTAGTCGAAGACGGGTTGATGGACTTGGCCTGAGGACGGGTTACCATGCCAGTGCAGCATACTTAAGCACAAGATGAACATAGATTAAGTGTTTGTGCCAAAAAGCCACCTTAATACTGAAAATATTTTAGGAATATTCAGAAAATTGTTTCTAAAAGATTATCTTTTGCACACTAGAGGAAATAACAAATTGAATAGAAAATGTTTAGGTTTTCTCTACCGCCCTCGAGCAGTCTTCCCAAGCCTGGTCCATCTTTAGTGTTTTTATTATTGATTTTTGCTTTCCCTGACCATGTCTCACCTGAAGTGTGGGTATTAAGCACATGGTCCCTCCACCATGGTCCACCCACGCTCCTCATTACCCATTTCTCACTGTCTCACGTGCATGACAGGCACCAAGTCATCCCTCCAGCCACACGTGCATAACAGGCACCAAGCCATCCCTCCAGCCACACGTGCATGACAGGCACCAAGCCATCCCTCCAGACACACGTGCATGACAGGCACCAAGCCATCCCTCCAGACACACGTGCATGACAGGCACCAAGCCATCCCTCCAGACACACGTGCATGACAGGCACCAAGCCATCCCTCCAGACACACGTGCATGACAGGCACCAAGCCATCCCTCCAGACACACGTGCATGACAGGCACCAAGCCATCCCTCCAGACACACGTGCATGACAGGCACCAAGCCATCCCTCCAGACACACGTGCATGACAGGCACCAAGCCATCCCTCCAGCCACACGTGCATGACAGGCACCAAGCTCAGAAAACAAATATAGTGAATGTGGTCATTTTATACAAGGAGCTATTTCATATTTTGTTTCTCTGGCATAGCCTATCCATCGCATCTTTCCTCAGAAAAGTTCTATACATACAATCATCTTCTGTATTTATAAGCTCGCGATAGTTATAAGCAGCAGCAGCAGACTCATTCTAATATTAATAGCTCACAATAAATCTTATAATATCTTTGTTTCAGGGAAAGCAAGAGTGAGCCGTCACATGCTCTGAGCCGCAGGTGGCCTCTGGCTCCCCGGGGCGCGCACAGTCTCGTGACCCGCAAGGCCGCTCATGCCCACTCGACTCCCCCGCTTGCATATATATACCGGACTGTGCCACCACGGCTGTCAGTGTAGACCAGACCGCAGGGGAGAGAGAGGAGTTCTAACACACTCAACCACTCACACACACAGACACACATACACACACACACACACACACACACACACACACACACACACACACACACACACACACACACACACATACACATACACACACACACACACACACACACACCATACACACACATACACACACACACTATACACACCATACACACACACACACACACACATACACACACACACACACACACACAAAAACACACACACACACACACACACACACACACACACACACACACACACACACACACACACACACACACACACACACACACACACACACACACACACACACACACACACACATACATACATACACACACACAACACACACACACACACACACACACGGGCGCGCGGGAAAGAGCAAAGCTCAAACCCCGCAAGCACAACTAGGTAAATACACACACACACACACACACACACACACACACACACACACACACACACACACACACACACACACACACACACACACACACACACACACACACACACACACACACACACACACACACACACACACACACACACACACACACTTGAGCTTATTTCCTTGCAATAAACATAGCTTGAGCTTAGTCTTAACGAACACATATAAATAATCCCACATACATTAACTCCTAACACCAGAAGGCAAGACTAGATTCGTCGAGTTGTTTCCGCTGGCTGACTCAAAGGTAAGCTGAGAAAGTGTGTTTTCTATGCATAGTTATCATATAAATGTTTGTGTTTTGAGCACCCAAGAAGCTGATTAAAGAACATCCCTTGCTTCGCCAAGAGGCAAAGTGCAATACTTTAAGCCAAATTGATGCATTGGTCAGAGAGCGGTACCTTTCCCAAATTATTTACACTAACGGTTCCTTGCACCAGTCCCATGGTGCAGCTGGAAGTGCAGTTATTGTGACAGCGAGAGATGGTTCCTTCTCCTATGAGTGTGGAGCGCGTATAAATAACTGGGCCTCCACTTTTCAAATAGAATTGGTTGCCAAAATCCTTGCACTCGAGTGCGTATATGAATCCAAAGTTGACACGCTAATTGTCAGCGACTCTGTCATTCTTGACTGCCCTCAGCTCCCTAAAGCATAACTGTGACGTGCTTGTGTCTGAAGCTAGACACAGATATAATGAAATAATCAATGATGGAGTCAGAGTTTTGTCTCTTGTGGATTCCTTCCCATATTGGTTTCCGAATGCATGATAGAACTGATGAGCTAGCCAAAACTCTGCTAACAAAGAGGGAATTGATTACCATCTTGGACTGCCTGAGGGGCAGTAATATTCCGGGAACATCAACAAAATCTCGTAGACTTGAGGCAAAGTGAAATTCACACGAGTTATTCCATCTATCATCATTTTATTATGCAGGAAGAACCGTACGTCTATTGGTCATCCAATAAGGTAAGCAGACTTCTAGATGATAGGCTTAGGCTGGGCTACAAGTACCTCTGGGAGTTTGCAACATCTGCTGATGTAGATTTGACTAAATGTAAACTCTGTCAGCAGAACTATTCGCATACTTTGCGTCATTATAGAATGGAATGTGAAAAATTCGCAGAATTCAGAGATAACACCATCAATGGAGTCCAATAAATGTGTAAGTACTTCATTCATAATGATATGCTGCGAGGAATCTTAACGAAGTATTCAAAAATTGCTAACTGTAGGTGCATCCTGCACATGACTATAAAGCAGCCGCCCAGTTGGGTGGGTGTGGAACAAGACTAGTAACTGTGTGACTCATAGATATAAAGTGCCTTGTATAGTGACTGTTGTGAGCCTCTTGTTGAATCACTTGTGATATCAACAAATTATCGATATGTATTTGTGTAAATGATTGTATATATATGTACATGTATATATAGCATTAACAATTGTGTAACTAGCTTTAAAAGATTGTCACTTGCTTAGCTAAATGAAATATGAGGTTCAATTCCTGGACCTATTATGTGCCTCAGTAACCCTTTCCACCACCACCCACGGGATGGGTATGGGGTGCATAATAAAGAAAGAAATTCAAACAAAAATTGAGCTATATATTAACAGTTTGTTATGTTTCAGTGTATCTGTGGGTGGGTGGTAAGCTTAACCCTGATCCAGAGACCACCCAATAACATCGCTGACCTTCCTTGCTGCATACCTGAGCCACAACATCCAAGCCTCAACCCCAGTCACAGTACACTTGGGTCAGGGGTCCCGGGCCTGCTCATAGATGGATAGGCATCTCGGGTGATTTCTTTGCCTGGCTTCTAACATGGAAAATAGAAAGCGTGAAACTTCCAAGAGCATGCAAGACGCGACGGGCAGGGACAGTGTCTTCGGTATTGGGCGACTCAGCTGATCTACACTCAAGTTTGTCGCCGAGGTTTCCATCGGTCGCTGCTGACTCTGCCAGTGCCCAAGATGCCCCCGCGTTCTACATGATATATTTCAACCTAACAAGGAAGTTCCCAGACTCCTCTGCCGCTCTACTGACTTCCCCTACCACAAGCAGATATCTTGCATCTGGCTGGTTGTGGTTCTGACCTTAACACGACCTACTGGAGGGTTGTGGTCCATACAACAGCCCGACCTCATGGAAGCTTGTGGCCCATACCACAGTCTGACCTCATGGCGGGCTACGCTTCCGTCCACATTCATCAGTCATCTAATACGAAGACAGGAATTTGCATATTTTGCCACCATTCCTGGTGGAACCTTGCACTGTGAAAGATATGTAAAGTAGTTAACTGTTACGTCACATAATGTAACTAACAGCTAAATGTGAGCTGAAAAGATGGTAGTAGAGTGTTTCGTGGGTGATCCCAGTGAACGGTGAAGTTTATCCAGTGTTTAGCACATTTGTCTGCTTCGTATGGTTGTGGACGCCGCAGAGGTATCGTGTCTGTCTTGGTGAGAGTGTCAGTGACATTATAAAAAAAACGCGTATGTTGTGTAATTTGCTCCAGTGCACATAGTGGAATACAACCAGCCTTTTCAAAATTAATATGACATAAATAGCTAATTTATTTATTTAAATCACATTATTACCATTCATCTAGATTCATCTGTGTTATCAGCCACAGATACTGTTAAGCTCTCATCATAAACACCTGTGGCCGCCTCCAGCCAGAACTGTGAAGGGAGAGAGGAGCAGCGGCTTATCTGGCGACAATTTGGAATGTTTATTATCAATATTAAATATAAAGTCGTGTGTGTGTATAGGAGATAAAATAAGCAATCTCTCTGAGTCCTGTCCACGAACGATAAATAGTTGGAGCCAGAGAGAACTGCCCAAAAATAATTGCACTGTTCTTCCAGTATCGCAATCATGGAGTGTTAGGGTTTGTGTGTCTGCTTCAGTAACCCCATTCATGGGGACCGTGGTCGAGGCCGCTGTAAGTCTCTTCGTCCACGGCGCTCATCACCATCCCCCGAACCAACTGTGGTGTGCAATACTGCAACTCTAGTACACACAGGGGATACCAAGACTTACACCTTAGGAGGGTCCTGCGTAGCTGAGGACTCAGTCCGCTGATGTTCTAGTACTTACAATATCGAACACCGCCATCGCCACCCAGTCCTCTGGAAGTTTAGATTCTTGACTCTGCTGCCATCTAATCGATCAGAGAACTCTTTGGCATCCTGGAGCAAATGTGCCCCGCTATTGGCTTCTACAGTGCCACCTGAGCCAATAGGCGGCTCACTTGCTCCTGACGGGGATGTATTTATGCCCTTGTGTCCCGGAATGTTACCCTACAGTTTGTGTGTTCATAAAATACAAAACCATTTTCTCGTATTTTTCACTTTCGTTAATAAATATAAGCAGTCGCCTATGTATCCACTTAGGAGAATTGTTTTTTGAAATCCGAGCGCTTTCGTATATTCGGCCAAGAAAGGAGTACATTACTGTGCTACTTAAAAATGTGGTAATGCACATAAGCGCTCGGATTTTTTTATTTTTCTCACCTAAGTGGATTCTTACGCATAAATAAATCAAATGTATGTGTGTGTGTTAAATAATAACTGAATGTTAAATAATCAGTAAATTAGGCTTCATCAACTCGATCTAAAATCTCAGCTTCTCTCAATGTAGACCGCCAAGACAAAATTGGCCAAACTCTGATATCAGACAAAAATAACATCAGCTCCAGGCGCTTTATGTTCGCTAGAACGTGAGCTTAATGGTTGTTCTCTCGTGTAACCAAGCAGGAGGCTTCAAGCAGCGACTGGATTGCTTGGTAGAGGCGATAAAGTCTGGTCTATTTGGAACTCACGTATCTTTAAAGATACCACAACTGTAAATGAATAGAGAATTATTTGGGGAGCATTTAATTGCCAATATAATTATCATAATTTATATTGCATCACGCACCTAAATCTAGTTGAAAAATATGTAGTCTGTAATTTGGTTTATCGAAGTTCCTCTATAACAACACAGACCTGACCTAGAATGCAGCGCATAACGCTGGTCTAATTCTCGAGAACCTGTTTACTGCTAGGTAAATTAGGTGTGAATTTCACATTTCACGACAATTTTTGTTGCGGTTCTCGGTATACTACTGTCTTCAGGCTGCTCAACAGCAATTGTTGGACACGTGTCACTCACCCTTGACTACTGGCACACGCAATAAATCACACTTATCTCTGTTATCCCACTCAAGTATACACTCAGCAACACTAAATACTACGACCACACTTAGCTATACTGCCACACTTGTTTATTGTTTCACTCTGCTTCACACTCATCTTAACTCACTCACCTTTACCCAAATTCACTTCACTCACACTCAGCTCCACTTTCACTCAGCTTCATTCACACTCAGCTCCACTCACACTCAGCTCCACTCACACTCATCTCCACTCACACTCATCTCCACTCACACTCACACTCAGCTCCACTCACACCCAGCTACACTCACACCCAGCTCCACTCACACCCGGCTTCACCATTCCCGTCTGTCACCTGTTGCGTCTTGGATATCTTGTCACAGCCCCGGCACAAGACGACACCTGGACACAGCGGGTGTCGTTTACTTTGAGGAATCTCTACATGTAATCAATATCATGTATTGTGTTATTCAGGCCTGTGTGTGGAAACTTGGCACTGACCATTTCAGCTACTGTCTTACACTTTAACGAAAGATGAGAAAAAGAAATACGAAAGACTATTGTTTTGATTTAATCACAACCTGCACATGAAAACTGCAATACATGAGCTGCTGCATCTTGTGGCACTAAACTTCTCATAAGGAGGCACTGAACATGAAATAAAGAGTGCAGTATTTGCTCCAATTGAGTCGGGGGAGTCCTCTGATTGGTCAGGCGACAGCACAGTTCCATGATTAAACTAGCCCCTCAGAGGACCGACTGGCGGCGATAAAACAATGATCGGCGCCCTTATACAGACCACTCTACAGCGGCCTTGTGAAGGTCCGCCCACAGACTTGGGATTTTTGGGCACTTCTCTCTGGGCGCAGAACCCTTCCTGGTGACCGTAGGCATTTATTATTATGCACCCCATACCCATCTTGTGGGCGGTAATGGAAAGGGTTACAGAGGCACATAATGGCTCGAGACGAATGTTGATTTTGTGAACGAAACATTAATGTATTAAACACTCCAAATTGTCGCTAGAAGTCACATTTTTTTTATTTATAAAAGTAAATACAATATATACAATAAAAAATTACATATCCTGACAAAGTACATGACAAACGAACAGAAATGAACCCATACGGTCTACAAGCAGTATTCCAAAGCATAAAGGCAAGAACACGAAGATAACATAAAAGAAATACAAAAAATAAATACAATCAAGCACAACACAGGAAATACTGGAATAACACAGGGAACACAAAGGTACACACAAGATATATATACACATAGGGTCTGGTAGCCTGGTGGATAGCGCGCAGGACTTGTAATTTTGTGGCGCGGGTTCGATTCCCGCACCAGGCAGAAACAAATGGGCAAAGTTTCTTTCACCCTGAATGCCACTGTTACCTAGCAGTAAATAGGTACCTGGGAGTTAGTCAGCTGTCACGGGCTGCTTCCTGGGAGGGGGGGGGAAGTAGTTAGTAAACAGTTGGTTGAGAGGCGGGGCGAAAGAGCAAAGCCAAAACCCCGGCAAACACAACTAGGTGAATACACAGAACAGGCCAGCGGCAAAAGAAAACAAGGTCAAATAACACATGGTAAAAGAACACTGTAAAGCATGATGGATAAACCCGGGCAAAAAGCCCACACAGACAGCAGTAACACATGACTGGAACACGCAGGACCCGGTAGAAGAGAAGGCTCAAGTAAATACAATAAATTACATGAAGAAAGCATTGTAAAAGAACACACAAATCCACACCCGGGCTTCAAAAAAGTCATAATGGAACCGAACATGGTACATTAAACTAAAATGCAAACACAAGAACAGCAAGCAACACGAAATAGGAAACACAAAATCCGTACAAAGAAAAAGAAAGACAAAAAACACTCCATGCTGAACATAACAAAAACCACACACCGGAACACGCAGGAACCGGAAACAATAGAAACCCAACTACACTCACGCATCCACATCATATCGCATCATACGGACATGTACAGGAACATAGCACCAGAACATGCAGGAACCGGGAGGAACAGAAACAAAATCACCAATTCCCAAGCCCATATTTCTCTGGAAACTCACTCGCCGGATACCGCGGGACACGCGGGCGCTCCATAAACTTCGGAACCACGACAGCAGGTGGCAACCTTCCTGTGGTTACTGTTCGGAACCACGACAGCAGGTGGCGGCTCGGCCGGTGGCGACCGCACCAGAGCAGGGGACATCGAAGGTCGGAGGTGGCAACTCCGCCGCCGACGGAACAGGGGGCGGGGTCACAGACTCCATCGGCCGCACCACGGAAGGAGGCTCCACAGGGGCTACATTCGGAACAGCATCCACAGGGCCGGGCACCGGCACGTCGGACATCCTTCCGCAGGACCACAACAAGGCCCCGGCCCACATCATTAACCCGCCCCCCCCCCCCCCCCCACTGTGGGTAACCCCCTGTAGGATTCATGCTTTATCTGCGCGTTAATCTTCCGCATTAGCTCCGAACCTCCCATTCCCCCTCCCCCTGCAGGAGAAGAAACAGTGGTTAACATAGAGACATCGTCATCGGTGGCAGCAGCAGGCATGTGAACCTCCGCAACCATTGTCGTGGTTGACACCGCCGCCCCCAGGGACCATCTCACCGACACTCGCAGACCTGCCAGCGTCAAAATCATCCACATCGGCCCAGGCAGAAGAGAGAAATGCTACGAACGCTTGGGACTCGGCCGCACATCTTCAGAGCTGGAGGCGTAACCGGAAGCGCAGGGGGTGCACCTTCGCACGGCGCAAGACGGCAGCAACCTCGACAATAGGGAGGAACATGTCTCACCACAACAGGAGACCCCGTCTCAACTTCCTCCCAGCACAGCTGGGACAAGCATCGGGAACGGAGTGACAGGAGCCGCAGGACAAGGTAGAGGATCAGGCACAGAAGACGGAGGGGCAGACGGAGAGGGAGCACCCGGGAGAACCACAGCAGCGCCGGGAACCGAACCCGGACCACAGAATTACGTGTACAGCTTGCTGTCCACACAACCAACGGCGCCCCACATGTGCGTGTGTGTACTTACCTAATTGTACTCACCTAGTTGTGTTTGCAGGGGTTGAGCTCTGGCTCTTTCTTCCCGCCTCTCAACTGTCAATCAACTAATGTTTCCCGAGCCTACTGGGTTCTATCATATCTACACTTCAAGCTGTGTATTGAGTCAGCCTCCACCACATCACTTCCTAATGCATTCCATTTGTTTACTACTCTGACACTGAAAAAATTCTTTCTAACGTCTCTATGGCTCATTTGGGCACTCAATTTCCAGCTGTGTCCCCTAGTGCATATGCCCCTTGTGGTAAATAGCCTGTCTTTATCTACCCTATCAATTCCTCTGAAAATCTAGTATCAGGTGATCATATCCCCTCTAACTCTTCTGTCTCCCAGTGACGTGAGGTTTAATTCCCGTAGTCTCTCCTCGTAGCTCATACCCCTCAGTTCGGGTACTAGTCTGGTGGCAAACCTTTGAACCTTTTCCAGTTTAGTCTTATGCTTGACTAGATATGGACTCCATGCTGGAGCCGCATACTCCAGGATTGGTCTGACGTATGTGGTATACAAAGTTCTGAGACCTTTGTGTGTGTGTGTATGTGTGTGTGACAGAGATACCGAGAAACATTTTGAGACGTCCAGCAATCTAAGCAACACTAGCAGTATGTTGTTGTTGTTGAAGAATAAGCCACCATAAGAGGTGGCATGGGCATCAGTAGGTGGTAGCTGTCTGGGGTGAATGTGATCTTTGGTCATGTAACATCTTTAAGTGGCACTGGGCCTCTGAGTAGCATGCAAGGGGTTATTGTTGTTGTTTTAGATTCAGCTACTCAGAACAAAAGTTCCAAGTAGCACGGGCTATGGTGAGCCCGTAGCTTACCTGGTACAGGAGCAGGGCAAGTAGCACGGGCTATGGTGAGGCCGTAACTTACCTGGCACAGGAGCGGAGCAAGTAGCACGGGCTATGGTGAGCCCTAGTGGACTTACCTGGCACAGGAGCGGTGGGTCGTGATGCAAGGGATTGATGATTGATAAAGATTAAGCCACCCAAGAGGTGACACGGGCATGAATAGCCCGTAGGTGATACAATTTTTTGTTCAGTAATTCTTTTCAGTGTTCTGAGGTCGCATTTAATTCTCAAGCTGCTATCGCAGGGGAGGATACTGCTTGACAGTCTTTATGAGGGTTTCCAGCTGCTGGACACCTTTTTTGACCAGGAGAGTGGCTGTGCTGATGGCTTCAGGGTGGCCACTGCAAGAATCAGGGACTCTTAACGTTCTTCTAAGGTCGTTGGTTGCTTCACATTCCAGAAGATAGTGAAGTACTGGCTTTTCTGTGACAGTTTGGCAGTAGATGCAGATGCAAAGGGGGCGGGGGTGGATTATATATGTACTGGCAGTAAGGTGGCGGGGCAGGTGAAGAGGGGGGGGGGGCGGGGGTGCTGCCTTGGCTCATCCAACGACCACCTGCAGCTGCTCTTACCTCACGTGAGGTCGCACGCTCTCTTACCCTAACTATCGTACTAATCTCTATTTATAGAACATGAGACCCACTCTTGAATGAGCAGTTTTGACAAATATAAAATATTCAAGATGTCTAATGTATTCACCGAGATGTATTTGTAAAGTCTAGCGTCTACTTCAGAGGCCCAATGGGGTCACAAACCTCCCTCGCCTGTACCCCGGAAACGTAATCTACCCATCGCGTAAAGGTGGCGTTCCAATGGTGGCAACTGCGTGCCATACCACCTCCTGGGTATCTAGATCAGTTTGGCATCATTATCAAACACTAATACAAAAGAGCTTATACCATTTGTCGAGTTGCTGATATAAACCAAACATTTTATTTTAAATGTAACAATTATTGTTCATATTCTACAAACGTACACACGCTCCTGTTACGTTAAATGGTTAACAATTACAATAACTTTAGTGTGCTCTGCAGTTTGTAAAGTTATATGCTAGTTGCAGACGATGAGTCACAATAACGTGGGTAAAGTATGTTGACCAGACCACACACTAGAAGGTGAAGGGACGATACGACGTTTCAGTCCGTCCTGGACCATTCTCAAGTCGATTGATTCTATGCTATGCATGTGTAGGTAGGGATGTCTAGTGATGACCACAGCGACGAGCTGGTCGTGTGACCTGGTGATGGGGTAGGACGACATGCTGGTCGCCTGAGGTGATGGTCATCGGGTGCCCTTGCCAAATTGTCATAAAAAGTGAATCAGTAGAGGCTTGTTATTCTTCTAATTAACCTGGCAGGAGGGACCGTCTGATCTTGACAGCTGTCAGTTATCTAAGTTAGATTTGGAATATTTTTTCCTGTGATTTAAACATATCATTACAATTGTAGCCGGAGTGAACGGATGTTACCAAAATCTGTACTCTCTAACAAGTTATATTCGTCCTCAGGCTATGTTCATTCTATCCGGCGAACCCAAAATTCATCAACTTCAACACGCTTGTTGATTCACAACAGGAATTTTCTCAGTTACAAATTAATATTACATATTACCATATTGTGCATATTTAGGCGTAGGTTAGGTTAGAGGTTTATGTTCTGTTGGCAATTAATGATAATCAACCCGTCCTTACACTAGGCTGTTTACAGCATCAGCCGTCCTCCCCAGACGCATCCATCAATTTTAATATACTCTGTATTTAAAATTTGTTTGTTCTCATATATAAATTTATATTATTATAAATAAAAAATTTTATATATAGTTAGGCGTAAGTTAGGTGTTTAGGTTCTGTTGGCGATTATTTGAATTTGAAGTACATGTGTGAAACAACCCGTCCTCGACTCAAGTCCATTACATCCAGCGGTTGACCCAGACGCATTCATAAATTTTTACATGCTGTTCATTCAAAACGGGAATGTTCTCAAATATAAATTAATATTGTAATATATTAGTATATTGTGCATATATAGGCATAAGTTAGGTTAGGTTAGGAGTTTAGGTTCGGTTGGCGATTATTTGCATTTGTAGTACGTGGGTGAAGCGTTTATAGTGATGTGGTTCGAACAAAACTCATCAGTGAAGCACATGTTCCGGAAGTGTTCGAACGAAATCAGTTGTGAGTCGTGTGTAAACCGTTTTTCATTCATAAACAGGGGGTTTGGCGGGTGGATGGAATCACTTTTGGATCTTTGTTTGGAGGACGGGCTGGTATTTATAAAACTGTGGTTCGAACAGAGGATGTGAGCGAAGCATTTATTCCAGAAGTGTTTGGACGTCATCAGTTAAGAGTCGTGTGTAAACAGCTTTTCACTCATAAATAGCGGGTTTGGCGGCTGGATTAACGAGCTTACGTTTTTGTATGCGAGGACGGGATGTTGTAATACGTGAATTAAGTTTTCAACCTGTCCTCAGACTGGGCTCGTTAAAACTGCAGCCGTCCCCATGATGCATCCAGAAATTTTAAAGTATTGTGTGTTAAGACACTCGCCTGGCGTTCCGCGAGCGCTATGTCATGGGTTCGTATCCTGGCCGGGGAGTATTTACTGGGCGCAATTCCTTAACTGTAGCCTCTGTTTAACGCAACAGTAAAATGTGTACTTGGATGAAAAAACTATTCTTCGCGGCGGGGATCGTATTCCAGGGACCTGCCCGAAACGCTACGCGTACTAGTGGCTGTACAAGAATGTAACAACTCTTGTATATATCTCAAAAAAAAAAATAGGTTTGTTCTCATTTACAGTTTAATAGCATTATATATCAAATTTCTATGTATAATTAGGCGTAGGTTAGTTTTGATTAGGTGATTAGATTTTGTTTGCGATTATTTGAATTTGAAGTATGTGGGCAAAGCTTTTACAGCATTGCGAATCGATCGGAGGTCGTCAGCGAAGCACTGTTCGAGAAATGTTCGAACATCAGCTGTGAGTCAAGTGTAAAGTTTTTTCGTTCATAAACAGTAGGTTTGGCGGCTGTATGGACGGGCTGCAAGTTAAAGAAGGTGTCGCACCGACTGTTTTATGAAATTCAGCGTCTAGTCGTAAGGAAACATTGATAGTGTGAAAATGTGCGCGGCAGCGTTTTAAGTGTTGGATTAATACTTTACGGCTCTGAGGTCTATCTTCTAAAACGTGAGTACAAAATTAGAACTTTAGTTATCAAGACTCATTCAGCACAGTGATTATACCAAACATGTTTATGCCGATTTTTTTATTAATTTGTCGGACCAACAACTTGATACCAATACTATGACCGCGTTGGACTGATACAGAGACAGCATTAATCTTTGCTTTGCTGTTAGCCTGAATTCGATCAACCTCGGGAGGGTTATTAATATGCATATTGTTCGTTAATATCCTAAGCCAGTCTTTAGGTGTAGCTCATGTTATAGTGAGTGTATCCCCCCCCCCCCCCCCAGACACGCCCTACGTGAACACTTCCTCGGAACACAAGTTGTATAATTCTGGGTGCTTCATAACAATTATATAATTCGGATGCTGTACACGTCGTATAATACTGCATGCGTTATAGCAGTCATATCGGCTAGTGCCCCTTACTGGACAATTTGCCAAGCGTCGTTCAATAACTACGCAAGTTTCCGGTGTGTGTGTGTGAGAGTTACGTGCATATGATCAGGATATTTGCGTCACGCAGGCCCAGTTTAACTATCACGCCTCTTACGTCACTCTTACTATAGCAATACGGCGCCCATGTCATGCTAGGCTTGTGTTGGCAAGCCTAGCTCACGACCCGCTCAATCTTGGTCTCTGCGTCATGTGTTTAGTGATCAGTCACCAGGGGAGCATCACACACTCTTGGCAGCTTCACACACACTCTGGCCACACCCTCGGCAGCTTCACACACACTGGCCACACCCTCGGCAGCTTCACACACACTGGCCACACCCTCGGCAGCTTCACACATACTGGCCACACCCTTGGCAGCTTCACACACACTGGCCACACCCTTGGCAGCTTCACACACACTGGCCACACCATTGCCTTAGCAGCTTCACACACACTGGCCACACCCTAGGCAGCTTCACACACACTGGCCACACCCTAGGCAGCTTCACACACACTGGCCACACCCTTGGCAGCTTCACACACACTGGCCACACCCTAGGCAGCTTCACACACACTGGCCACACCCTGGGCAGGCGGCCAAGAACTTTGGCTAAATATGAGAGTGTATTTTAGTCCTGAACTCAATTAGGGATCAAAGTAAACTTGCAGCTTAGAAAGTAAAGTTGATTGAGGCCTTAATTATTCTGGTAGTTGAATGAGCTTAAGCCTTAAGTTCTAAACTATAGCAATATTGCGGCACTGCGACTAAGTTTTCCCTAGCTATCAAACGTTAATTGATTTTAAAAGTATTTTATTGCAAGTTCTGGCTTGTGTTTTGCTATAAATTTTATTGTGAGGTTAATCATAGATATTATTGTTTCCACACTTGGAGCGATTACGCTGAGCACATCACCTTTGATGGCAAGCTGCAGCACTTCCTTACTCTTGCTCTCACTCTCACTTTCTGTCTCATACCTCCCTCTCTTCCTTATTCTCTCTCTCTCTCTCTCTCTCTCTCTCTCTCTCTCTCTCTCTCTCTCTCTCTCTCTCTCTCTCTCTCTCTCTCTCTCTCTCTCTCTCTCTCTCTCTAAGCCCTTACCAACTAGTTTTCCCCTGGGAACACGACCCACGTATCGGTTCACAACAGGTGCCCAATTACTAATGAGTGAACAGAGGCGAAAAGTTAAGTAATGTCTTCAGTTAGTCTTCACCGGGCTGACATGTGGTGTGTGTGCGCGTGCGTGCGTGTGCGTGCGTGTACTCACCTATTTGTGCCTGCAGGATCGAGCGTTGGCTCTTGGATCCCGCCTTGCTAGCCTTCGGTTCTTTAAATCAATGACTTCTGTCCTTCTCTATCATACCTAGTTTCAAAGCTATGAATAGTATTTGCTTCCACAATGTGTTAATTTAGTTCATTCTATCTCCTTACGCTAAAAGAATACTTTCTAATATCTCTATGACTCATCTGAGTTTCCAGCTTCCACTCATGTCCCCCTTGTTCTGTTGGTATTCCGTGTGAACATTTCGTCTATTTCCACTCTGTCAATCCCCCTGAGTATTTTGTATGCTCCTATCATATCCCCGCTCCTTCCTTTTTTTCTAACGTCGTCAGGTTCAGTTCCTTCAGTCGCTCTTCGTATCTCATCCCATGCAACTCCGGGACGAGCCTCGTCGCAATTTTTTTTAACCTTTTCCAGTTTCCTAATGTGTTTTTGTAGGTGGGGGCTCCATGATGGGGCTGCTTACTCTAAGACTGGCCTGACGTAAGCAGTGTAAAGTGCTCTGAATGAGCGCAGAGTGCGCTCTGAAGCGCTCCTAATTTACATTTCTGGATGATGTACTAACTTTTGCTAACGTAGAGTACGCTGCTGTCGTTATCCGATTTATATGTGCCTCATGAGTTTGATTTGTGATACGTCCACTCTCAGACCCCTTTCTCGAATCTTCACAGGAAGGTAGTTCCCCTTCATTGTATACTTATCCTTTGGTCTCCTGGCACCTAATCCCATTTCCATAACTTTACACTTGCTCGTGTTGAACTCTAGTAGCATTTGAGAAAATGCCATTTGTTATCACAACGAATGAAGGCTTTATCCTTGGGTGGAATACGGGTACGTTGTACTGGGTCGGAACGTCACGGGGGTTGCTTTCTTTCCTCCGGGTGTATATATGTTCGTGTTTACGTTCTGAGAGCTCGGCGAGCCTGGGAGATGGCAGGCACTGTGCCAGAGTGCTGGCCAGGCAGCCACGAGACACTGGCATTCGGCCACCAATGTTGGGAGGTGTTTCCCGGTGACCTAGCCTTCACTACGCGACATCTGCCGCACATTTATCTTGTCTCAGGGCCTATTTAAGTATACACTGGAGTAGCTGTACCTAAATAGGCTAATGTCATTGGTTTAAAATACTCTTGAGCTGTCTCTGTTTTAATTCCCTTTGTAGTCTACGCAACTCCCCCTTCCCACAACCCTTTCTTGTATTGTTGTGCCTCCTGTTAACAGGCTGAGAGCTTTTCCATCCCATAGCTCGTGGTAAGCCTTATCCTATAAAAGTTTTCCCTGTGAAACACGACCAGTCAATCGATTTACTTCCCAGTCCCCAGTTACTGCTGGTGGACAGGGGCGACCAGTTATCGATTGGTTCCCAGTCAATCCTTCCTGGGTTTTGTCACGGGGCGAGTATGTGGGTGTATGTGTGTATCCTATGTGCGGTGTATCATGTGTGTCGGTGTATGTATGTATGTTTGTATATCTAAATACTAGGTGAGCTACCGACCTTCCCAGGAGGCAGCTCCCGAGAGCTGTGTAACACAGAGGTATCTGTGTCGTTCTAGGTGAACAGAGGCATGAGGTAAGAATACACTGACAATTTGTTTCTACCGCCCCGGCCATTATTCGAAACTGGGACTGTGGGGGGCGCGCGCGCGCGCACACACACACACACACACACACACACACACACACACACACACACACACACACACCAGTAATTACATCTATCATCATACTATCATGCAAGAGGAGCTACACATCCAATAAAATGAGCAAACTTTTAAATGTTACTACTGCTCGGCTTTGGCTCGGTTACAAGTATCTCTGGGAATTCTCATTATCTGCCGATATAGACCTGACCAAATGTAAACCGTGTCAACAAAATAATTCGCACACCCTCCGTCACTATGTGATGGAGTGCGAAAAGATACGTGAATTCACAATTCTATAACAAATGTTCCAAAGATGTGTAAATATTTCATTCAAAATTATTTGCTACCAGAAATTTTAGCCAAATATCCCCAGTTTGCTAACTGTAGGTAGTAACTAAGTGATTGTAACCTATCCACCGCTGCCCACTGGATGTGGGGAGGTGTGCAGGACAAATATATACTGCAAATTGTGACACTAGCTCTCCACATGTCAGTTGCTTAATATAGAAACTACATGTGGTCGCTCTCGAACCCATTGATGATTTGACGACGTGTATTGAATTTTGTAACTAGCTCATCAAGATTGTAACTTACTTAGCTAAATGAATTATGGTATTCAGTTCCTGAGCCCATTATATGCCTCTGTAACCCTTTCCACTACCGCCTACAAGATGAGTGCATAATAAATGAACTAAACTAAACTTTCTCTTTCTCCTACTTTCCCGTCTCCATCCTTCACTCAATATAAATCTAGCCACTTCATGTTCGACTTCCTAAACAGTTCTCCACAAAAACAACAGCAATAAAAAAACATTAAACTGATCGATTTAGTCTCGAGCAAAAGTCAGATTAACCACCATTTGTTAGTCAACGGTTCTGGGCAGTAACTGGACAGGTGACGCGTACATAGCCTCGATCTTAACAATATGAGAATTTAGGATCCTAACTGGCTTTCTCTTCCCTACAATGATATGACGGTGTTCGTAGTATAGAGGTTTTTGGTTAGTTTAGTTCATTTATTATGCACCCCATACCCATCTTGTGGGCGGTAGTGGAAAGGGTTACAGAGGCACATAATGGGCTCAGGGACTGAACCCCACAATTCATTTAGCTAAGCAAGTTACAATCTTGACGAGCTAGTTACAAAATTCAGTATAAGTCGTCATATCATCAATGGGTTCGAGATCGATTACAAGTACAGATTCTAAATTAAGCAACTGACATATGTGGAGAGCTAGTGTCACAATTTATATGTTTGTCCTGCACACCGTCCCCCATCCAGTGGGCAGCGTTGGATAGGTTACAGTCACTTAGAGGACGACAGTAAACTAAACTTGGCGCTTTATAAAAAAATTATAGTCCCCCATAAATTTTCTGTCACAGCACGTTATATCAAAGAAAACTTTGACTTTATAGGGGTATGAAAACTAAATATGTTATTGACTTGCAGAGCTACATGTTATGCCTTAAGGCATGTGAAATTCTTTGAAATATTTAAGTGTTGCTGTTCAAGAGTGTTTCCTCAAATTCCAGGTGAGTTTAACCAAATTTTGTCACATATCGATTATGATTAATGATTAATATGATCATAGGGTTTCGAAGTACAGTTGCTTTCGTTCTCGACTCACAATCATGGATCCTG